AACTATCAGCATTGTTGTTCGGAATGAAACTTGTAAAAGAAATAATATCTGAAATCGAAACTAAAATCGATAAAATTAAAGTTTTTTCGGATTCACAAGTCATCTTATGTTGGTTAAAAAAGAATCCGTCGGAGAAAATATATGTAAAGAGCAGATTAAAAAAGATCAAAGAGATTGAGGAGAGTTTTCAAACAACCCCGATTTCATACTATTACGTGAACACAAAAAGAAATCCTGCTGACTTACCTACCAGAGGGATTTCACAAATAGATGAAAACTATGACAAATGGATAAGAGGTCCTTGCTGGTATGCTAATGAGACGGAAAGGAATGAGTATACAAAGCACAAGAGGAACTAATGATCAATGAAGAAAAGGGAGCAAATCAAAACATTATAAACTTATTCATAAAACCAAAAATAATTATGAGAGAAAATTCAGACTTAGATTTTCTCACACAACGGTACTCAAATTATACAAAGTTCATAAATACCACGCGAAGAATCATGGTCTTCACGGCAAAGCTAAAAACATCGATCAATAAACAGGGTTCCTCCTTACAGAAAAAGTTATTAGAAATGAATTCGATATCATTACAAAATAGAATTAGTGAACTGATAACTGTGGGTCGAATAACATTAATGTTTTCTCAACTCTCTTCATGTCCCAAAGCAGCGCTTGAAGGACCACATCATCTATACCACTTCCCATACTTATACATCAGTTTGGCTATACTGCTCCAAGGAGCCACAGCAGGGAGACATAGTGGCAGGATTCCCCTTCGTTCTCTCAGAGAGAGGTTTTGGCTATGCTAGACCTGATATTTTTCGCAAGCTTACTAAATACCGTATTTACAGATGCTCTTCCATCCACCATGGGGGTGTTTTTAAGGCCTCAACACATCTTTTACCACTAAAGGTGACGTTACGTATACTTTTTCAAGCGATGTCTTTAACATCGTTATCTTTCAGGTTAGATATACTCAAATATCTAGGTGTGATATTGTTTCCAGCCAGACAGATTCGTAGTCGTAGATTTTCCCCAGTATCACTCGATCGATTATAATTAGTTGGAGATTAGATTGTATGGGAAGAACAAAAATAAAAACTTGATACAAACATATTTCCTTAACAGAGAGCACCACGTGAAGGTTTATAATTATTGTTATCCAGTTAACTGATAATAATAAAAACCCATCAAGAACAAAATATAGATAAAATTGAAAACAAAAAGTATAAAAACCTAGATCTCGTGAAGGATGAGAACGGTATAATCAGAGTCAGAGGTATATTGGGTTTGTTTGGAAGAACCGATAACGTAGAAGACAGCTCAAAACAGACCACACGTTACCCTATATTGTTATTCGGGAACAAATTCTTCACCAATCTGTTACTAAAATATATGCATGAGGTTTCTCTTCATGCACCTCGTGACACGTTGATTAGTGTTCTTAGAAAAGAATTTTCTAAAGTCAAAATCAAGAGCGCAGTTAACAAGGTTATTTCTTATTGTTTAAAATGCAAAAAGGTTAACAACAGACCATATAAATATCCGCATTACCCACAGCTACCTCAAGAAAGAGTTAGGAAATATAAACCATTTGAAAATGTAAGCATCGACTATGCCAGTCCTCTCATAGTAAACAGAGAAGGAGAT